AAAAACAGTTTGAATGTTTTTTTTCTGATAAGAATATAGTAAATCTAAGTTTTTACAAAGTAGACAAATATGGATTACCATTGAAATATCTCAAAGACCAAAAAGAAACACTGTGGCAAAATTATATCTATATGGAATGAAAAGAACTTCATTTTTAACACAGTTAAAAGATAGACCTTATTGTTATAAAAACGATCTAGGTGGTCTGTGTCTTACATGTGCTGAATACGGTTATAACATATTTGATAACTTGAAAGAGCTGATTAATAAAAAAATTGAAATAAAAATAAACAAGTATATATATCGTATCTGAAGTTTTTACCTACTCAACGTTGTGCTATAATCGCTATCATAATAAAAAAACAATAAATCTGTTATTACAATGCTATACATGCAATAAGTGCTGTATCAGAAGCCTAAAATTTTAATTTGCACTTTTGGAATCTCTTCGGGTTCCAAAGTGCACATTTAGATTTTAGACTTCTGATACTTGACGTATTTTATGTTTGATCTTAATTGTTCAATAATCCAGCTAGTATGGCCGAATTACTAATCAATTAAGATCATCCATAAAATACTCTACTTATTGCATACTTCACATGCAATAACTATTTAGTATAATAATAAACCTAATAGATACTAACAATAAAATTATATTATTTTAAAATAAACTTATTGATAATCTTGAACTTGTACAAAGACATTTGAAACATGAATATGAAAAAGAATTACATGTAGATCCATTCGGGTATACTCCACATGTTCAATGTCTTGAACATTGTTTTCAAAATGCATTTGGTCAATGCTTACAACCTCATAAATCTAATTGTAAAGAATGTAATAAAGTATCAGAATTATTTGATTTATTAGTTGCTTGGATACCAGATAATATTGAACAAATTATTAAAAATTGAGCCAAATTGCAATATTATTAGTCATATCAAGCTCACGAAATGTATTTAAATACACAATTTAATACAAACTTACTAACTTTAGATGAAGAAGGTGCTATTATTATTGTCGACTATAAAATGAAAATTTTACAAAATCAGCACGTGAAGTTAAATCAGACTTCTATGGTAAATCAGGATAGTCTTTACATACAACCTTAGTATATACTAAACATGCAGATAATGATTTAGATATTTATGCTTTTGATCTTTGGTTATCTGACATGGTTCAGGATGCATAGTTCACTGCTTCAGCATTTGAAGTTGTTTTCAATAATCTTAACAAAAAACTATTCTGGATAAAAATTATATCAGATAATGGTGGCCATTATCATTGTGCTGAGTTAATATCAATAATTGCAAATTGGAAATTATGGTATGATATTGAAGTACGTAGTTGGACCTTTTTGAAAGCAGGGGAAGCCAAAACAACTATTGATTCTCATCACGCTCAGGTAAGTGTAAAATAATATTACAAGATAACTTTTCAAATCTATTTATCTAAAGCAAATTCAAATATCTAATAACAGATATTTGTTGTAAACTAACGTTTAAAACCTGGTTGGATATAAACCCTAAAATTAAAGATATCATTTAGTAAAAAAAACTTCATATTTATAGAAAAAAATTTCATAAAGTTTTAATTGCATAAACCGATTTTAGCAGTATCAAAACTTCAATATAATATAGTAAAATATAGTATAG